TTTTTTTTTTTTTTTTTTTGAAAATAGGTAATGGAACACAGCAATTTCTTACAAGTCGAGGCAATATTTATTTGTACGGCCCATATTTTTTAAAGCAAACAGTGTCTTGATGGCATCAACTGCTTTATTGTACTCTAATATTCTGTTTATGCAATGACCATGATAACCCTATTGAAGAAAAACAAAACAACGTCACTATAATGTGACTAATGTCAAAAAGTTGCAATAGATGTAATTAGGAAATCTGATTTGTAAGAAGTTCGAATTTTACCATATTTTCAGATAAAATGTTTGTCTAATGTTTTATACTCGTATTATTTTAAAATAATAGATATTTTTTACTTTTATTTTATAATTAAAAGTTTAAAATAATTTCTATTTTTACTTATTTATCCTTAAAAAAATAAAAATAAAAATACCATATCAACCTATTAAGAATTTGTGAGATTTTAAGTTTGATTTCTATCATGCCTACAGTTAATTTAACATTATATTAGTGTTTAATTTTATTGGCACTCATCTATGTTTAATTATGTTTATCAAGGTTCAGTTGCTAACTCACTCTTAAAAATGCTTAGTCTAGAGATGCTTGACCAGAACCAATATTTTCCCGTTTTAAAGTGTCTCTGACGTCCTCTAAACAAGTAAAAATGCGGGACACACGAGTTTTGTTGTGGACAGGAAGTCGTTCTCTAACTAATTCATGGTGTAAATTAAAATTGAAATACTCCCTCTCTCCATTTTATTGGTTGAAACCACACAACAATTAATTTCTTGCATTGCATCTAAAATTGAAATATGCATTCATTTGTTCCAATAAAAGTTGCTTAATTATGCTTATTATATCAACTACCAATTATTCGGTTTTGCTTATAGAAAAAATTGCTAGTCTTTAGATTCTTCATTCTTCACAAAAAGCAGTATGTTTTTTTCTTCTTTCACAAACAGGAAGTTTCATAGAAATATGTTGTATTCATACCAGCTCTAAGTTAATCCAAAATATATAGTGGGTGTTTGAATTAATTTTTCAAATACAACCGATAATTGATATTAATATTTGATAATTAATTATAATTATTATTATTAAAAATTAAAAAAAATTCATTTATTTAATTAAAACTAACAAGTGAAAGCTGTTAAACAAACTCCAATCCAAACACAAACAGGAAGTTTCATAGAAATATGTTGTATTCATACCAGCTCTAAGTTAATCCAAAATATATAGTGGGTGTTTGAATTAATTTTTCAAATA